ACCGAGAGTTTCCGTAAGAGATCCGATTGTTCCCATTCCAGCATTTGAGCTTCCTCGTCTGCCGAGAGCTTTTCGACCGCGTCAGGAGCAGACAGTAGAGATGGGCGCTGTCAGGCCTAAGAAATGTTGACCTGAAAGAGAGAAAATATTAGTACAAGAACTTTACTTGAAAAACAGAAAGTGCTGCAAAAGAGGGACGGTCACGTCACTGTCACAATGTCACAGTGTCACATGGATCACATGTGTGTGACAATGACATGAATTGTCTTACATAAGCAGCTCTGAACAGTATATAAGGAGGCTGTTTTTCAGCCTTTGGACAAGGAATCCCCCCCCTTCTTTTTGACTACCGCTCTCTTTCAAGTAGACACTTGTTGTGTTTGATCTTGAATACCATCAACTTGATCTCTAAACCGGCTGATTGTGACGACTTGTGACCGTAATCATTGATATCATCATATTGTTGGTGATCTTGATTGTTGTCTATCTGATACTTAAAGAACTTTTTGCAACAACACTATTAGGTCTTTGGTAGACCCTCTGCTGTCTGAACCTGAGCTGTCTGATTGTTGATTGCTGCTGCTGATATACCTGATTGCTGCCTGATATTGCTGCTAAGTTGTGCTGTCTGAGATATTGAATTGCTATTGTGCATAAGTCAATAACTCTTAGGAAGATTGTTTTATCTTGGGTACCTAGTTCAGACCATCTGATCACTTATTAAGTTGACCCATCACCTGGCCTGCTGTATCTGATAAGCTAAGTTCCCCTTAACCTGCTTAGTAATAAATCTAAGCAAACACACCTATCATATCCCACAAACTTATACGTGGAGTTCTTGGACAAAGCCGCTCCCAGAGCTTTACGTAGGAAAACTATTTTCCACTCGACATCATTGGAGCCCACCGCGAGGGGGATTAACTGGTGTATACATATATACATAACTTGTTAACCTCCAACAATTCAGCAAATATAAATTCTTTGCTCAACAATTCCATCAACTACAACTGATATCACCATGACTGCTTGGGACTCTTTTAATATTCCTGATCAGTCAGCTGATGCTGCATTTGCTGCTAATATGCAGTCACAATATGATAAACCCCAAGGCCCATATGCTTCTACTAGTAGAATGAGGGCAAAGGCTAAGGACAGAAAGGGGAAAGGAAGAGAAAAGGATCTTCTAAATGATTTCCTTGAACAATTAAGCTCTGATTCTGAACCAGAATATACTAAGCCCTGGATCAGAACACCACCATCATCACCTGAACCCGATCTACGCATGCCCGCCCCCCATTCTTTTACCGCACCACTTCGCACCTCTATGGATATGCCTATTCCAGGAACCAAGGAAGCTCCTAAGACCTTCCGTGGTAAGTACTCTGAAGTTGAAAGATTTATTCGGACATTTGAACAACTGCTTACTAAGAACCGTGTAATAGATGAGAGAGAAAGATGTAGGTTTGTTTTGGACTATTGTACTAACAATGTACAGAATGTTATTCGCACTATGGAACATTACCGAAGACCAAACTGGGTCGGATTACGGAAGGAAATTCTCAAGACCTTTGATGCGGAACGAGCCCTGCATAAATATCGTCCAGCTGATGTTGTCAAGTTTGCTAAGGAAATGACCAAACAAAGCATTTCCACAATGACGCAGTGGAGAAAATATATTGTTAAATATAATACAATTGCAGGCGGGTTATATACCCAAGGACGCTTGACAGAGGAGAACTATCTAATCTATCTCTGGTTTGGAATACCAAAGGAACTTCGACAATCTCTTGAGTCACGCATTCTACAGGGGCGTTCAGTGAGCAACACCACTCAGTACTCTATAAGAGAAATCAATGCTGCTGCAGACTGGTATTTCCGGAGAACTAGAGCCGAAGCCTTGCTACTTGATGCTTCAGACTTTGGTATTGATGACTATGAGGCTGATGATTCGGAATCTGATTCAGAAGAATCTGATAGTGATTCGGATTATGAGTACCGTCGATCTAAGAAGAAGCGAAAGGCTACCAAGAAAGGGAAGGATAAGAAGGTGAGGGTCTCAACTCCAAAGCCTAAAGCCAAGTTTAATGGCAATGAGGAGGAGATAGCTGGTATGATTAAACAGCTTAATGGAATGAAGATTGAAGATCCTGAATATGCACCTACATATTATAAAGTATTAGCCATGGATCAGACTGGTAATGCTGTAAAATGTGTTAAGCCCCCTACACAGGGTCAGGGTAATATAAACCCAACCAGCTTTAATCGTCGTGCAAGTTTCACATCATCTTCCAACCCGCCAGCTTCCAGACCCTCTGATATGAGTAGTTCCTCAAACCCCTCTGCTGCCACGTATCCTAACTCAATTCCAGTTGACCCTAGCTGTTTTGGGTGTAAGAAGACTGGGCACCGCATGTCAGAATGCCCTGAAATAAATGACCTAATAGCCCGTGGGGTATTAAGTCATAACCCACAAACCCGCCGTCTAGAGCTTAAATCAGGAGCACCTATTCGACGTTTGATGGGAGAATCACTAGTACAAGCAGTAGAAAGGATAACAAAGAATCCAGAAGGGACATCAGTAATGCTTACCTTTGTGGATCCAACCTTGAGTACACAAGAAGCAGTCAGAAATTTCTATCAAAGCTCTGCTCAAATACAAACACTTTCTAGTGATGAGTCAGACTTGGAAGAAGAAGATGAGACTACTAGTGATGAAGAATATGATGGCACTGTATACTTAAGTGTGCCCAAAAATGTGCATTTTAAGGAAAGAAATGTATATGAGGCAGATCGGTGCTCAACAGGGATTCAGACAAAGCGGAAAGAAATTTTTGATGGTGTACACATTCCACCATGCCAAGGTCGCATATCAGAAATAAGGCTTCTCACGAGTGTCACGGATAAATACCTGTACTCTACCTGCGGGTAATTTAGGCTTCAAAACCAATACCTGCATTTGCAGCATCCGTGGGAAACGGGTACCTGTACTCACGGATACGGGTACCTGCACGGGTTATCCACGGGTATTTTGAATAAAATATTAGGATACTGAGGTATATTGACAATATTAAAAGCTTATATAGAATATAGTATCAAGTACTATACTGATATGGACACTACAGGGTATAAGAAGACTGTAGTGACTGGAATATATAGAAGATAATGAAAATTAAGATCTTCCAGAGTCATACCTGTACTCTTGGCATCCGTGGGAAACGGATACCTGTATCCGTGGATGTCAAACCTGCGGATGTTTTCCTGCAGGTACCTGTGCAAACATCCGCGGGTGTGGACACTCGTGCGGAGCTTTAATCAGAAACATCCGAAAGTTTGCGTTCTAATTCAGAAAAGACACCTTCCCGACCAGCCACCCCGCCAGCAAAAATACTTAAGAAGACAGGGACTGATGATATCAAACCTATCGATGCCCGTAAAACCACGGACTGGTAGTGAGGATGTAGAAATGCAAGACACAACAGGACCAATACGGTCACATGACACAGTCATTCCTCCTGATCCAAAAGATCCTATCAGAAACTTTGACAGTTACAAGTCACGTGACAAGGAGAATATACGACCATCAAATCGCCAATCGGCGATCTCATCAACTGTCAATAAAAGTGACGTCACAAATAGGGTATTAGACTCACGGATCGAGGTCAGTGTGCGGGAATTGATGGAAGTGTCCAGAGATGTCCACAGCGAATTTACAGATTTGATCCGGATACGTAATCCGAAGGCCGTATTGGTGAATGCACGGAAGTTACCCATGAGTGCAAATTTTTCATGGCCAAGAATGGAAGGTATTCTGATTAAAGTGGACATGATATCTGGAAATTCAATTATCACTGCAATTGTGGATACAGGTTCACAATTAAATGTTGCTCGAGGGGAAGTAGCCCGACGTAAAATCCCTCAGGTAATAACCCTTTCAGACGAGCACTTGTATCGCCTTCCAAGCACTTATGCAGAAGGAGACGAAGCTTACAACTGGGCTGCGCGTATCGGGAGTCGGAGGGGTGTGTGTGCGCCCGTCATGGGGTTGTACAACCCCTTGGGTTTGGGTGACTTACAAAAAGGAGAACGGTAAGAGGCTTCGTTGTTGTCCTGTTGCGATGGTTGTCCTGTTGCGATGGACTGACTACTTTTCAGCTACGCCAATATGGATTGGGTAGTGACGTCCGCCATTGGGGGGACTACATATGAAACTGAATTGTCCTGCCCAACTTTGAGGACTTGTGAATTCTGTGCATCAGTGACCCATTGTGACCCCAACATCTAGCCGATCACCGGCAATCACTATCTAAGATATTCCTTTTTTGGGTGATAGCAGAAATAATAAAACTTTGCAAGTCTATGGCTTCCTGTAAGAATAAATTTTGGATGTGATTTGATGCAATGATTGAGATCATCATATCATCCAATGCAATTATAGCTCTTGTTTTGACTAATATAGTGCAGAAAAGGGGAGTGATGCCCAGGGCTTATCAGAATTGGAGAAGGCATAGTTGTGTGCTTGTGGCTGCTGAAATGCCAAGTCCCCATGTTGCTGGGGCAGCTCATTATTGAGCGAGATATCATAGTGTGACACTCCGTGACCGTGATTGCGTTGTCCCAAAATGGTAAGTTTTCATGATAGAGGCAAGAAAACAGTTTATTTGGGGGTCCTGACCCTCTGAATAAATCTGAGCGCTTTTGAGGTTTATTAGAGACCCAAATGGGGATTTCAGTCTGAAGGGGTCCTAAAGGGACCGCCGGCACCTCAGCAAAATACAAAATTCATTAAACTTCCCTTACAGGAAGTCACCCACTGTCCTATCATCTATTTTATTTAGTTTATCAGTTACATGCACACATACCTCAATCTGACAATTTCTACTAGTTAGACACATTTATTTAAATTTTGCCACAAAGACATCCCGGTGCAGAAAATTGCCTAATGAGGACATTTGTCAGACATGTCATAACCTTTGGGACAAGAATAGAATGGCTTATTAGGTTCAATTACTATTGACTATAGTGATTACAGCCCTCAAACCTACTTCCCATAACCGCTTCCTCACATCCATATTGGGGGTATTTAGAGCCTCCAGTCGAACCATTTCAAGTTGTTGTCGAAGGCCCGATGCCAAATGTGAAGGTAGCGGGCATTGGGGCGACTCGCATACTACTGCATTGAGTCTATCGGGAATAAGCTCTGATCGCTCTTGAGGATTGTGGTCAAAAAAGTGATTCATGATCCCCAAATCTCGTTGAGCTTCATGATCCACCCCATAGCTCGCCAAATCGGGCATGTCGATACCCAACCCACGAACCCCCTCCTCAACTAACCCAAATAAAAACATATCCGCGGGAGAACGATTGGGTTCACCACGAATTTGCATGATGTGAAAGTTCCAAGTTTTCACCCATTCCGTAGCTTCAGCATTGATGGCATCCAGAAAGAGATGGTGCAAGAGCCACATATGGAGGTCTTCATCTACATCCAAGCCATAGTGCTGCTCAAGATCCATAAAAAAGTCGTACCACTTCAGTCCTAAACCTTGCGTCCAATCCAGCCAGAGACGCTCGATGCGCGTATTGTGAACACTTCTGAATTATTCTCAGTTGTTTTCGGTGAGTTTTGAGAAGCACACCACCTGCCAAAAATATAGGAACCTCGGCCTGATCCACGAAACTGCTCCATGGCTTCGGCCACTTTTACATTTTCAACTCCGTGATCTCCCCGAACCCGGCTCGGAGCTCCGTATTGTGCAACAGCCTCAAGAAATAGGCGGAGCACGGTGTACGAACGGTTATTGTTGTGGACACGCAGACCTGTCACGAACCGCGATTTACCATCAATGAAAGCATGGGTTACGAGTTTCCAGCGGATTAGCCCTGTATCAGGTTCAGTCACTATATTGCTTGACCAGCCACCCCTACCGTGCTGCCCATCGTGGTGCCAAAGTGAATTAACTGCAGGAACCCAGTACTTCTTACGTGCAATTCGACGCTGCCCAAAAGCGGGTGGGGCTCCGCGAACTCTCAGAAGCGATGCATGAAGCCGGGAACGGGATATACGCATGCCTCTGCTTGCGAGCTGACCCAGAATCATACTCCTTCCAGCGTGGGGAAAAAGTTGAAGAACGTCAAATACCATGGCATCGAGAGCTGTGGTCGATATCTGACTATAACGACTGGACTGCCCACTGTCTGCATTGCGCCGGACTTCGGAGGAGCCGTCGGGTGTGAGGTAGAGTTCGAACACAGGAGGGGCGCGGTTAGCGAGATTGAATTCGAGAATTCTCCTTCGCACGGTTCGCGGAGAGCAACCCAGTAAGCGGGCGATCTGAGTGGGGCCCCTTAGTTGGATCGCTTGCTTGAGGAAATCTTCGTCAATGATGACTGGTGGTCGACCTCCTGACGGAGTGGACATCCCCAGCTGGACCACTTGTATCCTTTGTCGTTCAGATTCATCTGGGTGCCCTAAGCCCGCTTGCTCAAGGTCACGGAGCATATCGTGTAGGTTTTGGTTGAGACAACCTAATTCTTCGTTGGAAAATATTGTTCGGTGCTTCGGAAACTCAGACAATTGAAGGAGTGGGGGGCATGACTCACAAGTTGAGCTGCTCGCAATAAATCGAGACAGTCATTCCTGTGGCGGCCTAATTCTGCTCCATCGGCGGACTGGGTGTGGAGCGTGATCAACACACGCTCTTGGAGAGCAGAGTACGCAGCACGAATGTTATCCCGTCTATAAGCATCCATCGAGGCAGGTAAACGTCGGGTTTCAGTGACTTGAGTGTGACGAAACCGGTGTGACCAACCGGCCTGCCGGCCTTTCACACCGGTTTCTTCACCTTCTACAGAATGGATGCTACAACGACTCCGATGCACTGGCTGGCAACTAGATTTTGAAGAGAGAGGAACGACTCGATAGGCGCAACTTCACCGTCTGCAACAATCACGGATAATAATATCAACTTGAACGGCCATACTAGTACAGTTGAGAGAAGATTCGACCGATTAAGGGCACCGCGGAGAACGCCATCGAGAGGGCTCGGACGAGCCCTTTTCTTTTACACGTTCAAATATCCTTCCAGATGGTCATCGGGGATATACCAAGCAAACCAATGTGGCATCGTCCAGCTACCCCCACTCGACTTGTTGAGGCCTAACCAACCACCTCGGCTTATTCAGTACTTCATTCATTGGCTATCTCTCGACTAATTGAGGTTTAGCGCCAGTGGGTGCATCTCAAGCACATCCGTTCATGCTCTCCTTCTGGGCGGTCCCTCACAAAATACCACTGGCAACCAAGTCGTTCCAAGAATGCCCACAAGTCTTTCTTTACGCCAGATAGTGAACACCAGTGCCAGTGCTCTTTCCTTGGCCGATGTGCCAGTGCTCTATTAGAACAGCGTCGGTGAGTTATAACCCTTTGATGGCGAATCGGCTCTTTCAAAGGAGATATAGACGGAGAACCGCTGATCACTCGCACGATTCGAGCTACTATAGGTCCACTCCGATACTCTTAAAACTATTTGGATCTGATTACTGGTCGTACTGCTGCGACAATGTGCTTGTGCTTTCCGGGGTTGTACCAGATACGGTCTCATCTTGCTCGCTCTGTGCCTCGAACGTGGAATTCTAGGCCTATTCTCCTGAAGTTTGGAAATGGGACCCTACAAGCGGCCCTGCAGGTCACGCTATTTATAGGTTCGCTGCTTTCCAATTCTTTCGACTTTCTCGATTTCATTAAACTCTAGGTAAAATCAAGCCCTCGGTCTTGAGCGATTCGAGCTTGTCTTCTGCTTTCCGCGTAATGGGTCGTACTGCGGCGGATAAGGTTTCGACTAGTCCAATTGACTCGAAAAATCGCATTCTGAGTTAGCTCCGTCTCGCCCCAAGCACCAACTTCACCGGCAAGGTGTGGCTGGCATTTCTGCGCCATAATCCTACTACTGACGCGGACAGTTGGTCGGCAACAACTCGTAGATTCACGAGAACGCAGCTTGGTTTTCGACGGCCTAGTTTATCAACCCCAACTACTAGGGTGCGGGCCGGGCCGTTCTCAACTACCTTGCCATCTTACCCAACTTTCTCCCGTCGTGAATGTGGATCTGAGCTAATATGGATGAACTGTGGGGTAGAACTCCGGCCCTGTAAAGTATCTCATGAGCAACAGAGGCGAAAAAAAGCCGTGATCGGCTGTGTTTTGCCGATCAAGGAAATTGATTATCACCGATCGCGGCTTTCACTGAGAATAAAGGCTACTTTACTCCCTCTACCCTCCAGCCCCTTGGAAAACCCCGAACTCGAAGGAGGCTACTCACGGCATTAATCCACCTAGCGGCAATACAAGTTATCCAGGAGAGCCCCCACCCGCGTCTCGCCTAGTTCCACCTCCCAATAGAGCAGGTTGTTGGCGCTGCAAGTGCTATGAAACGTGGGACGACCTAGTGACGGGGGTAATTATGAACTTCCCCAAGCAAACCAACCAATCTGGACACGATTTTGGCCCAAACCTTAATCCAAATCCTAAAACCTTCCCGTTCCGGCTTCTGGCATCGGCAAGCCCTCACATCTCTCCTCTCCCCTTCACAGACTCGGAGATTCGGCGACTTTGGCCAGATGTCCACGGTGCCCTCATATTTGAAGTTCGGGCCAGTTGAGTCTTCCTCTGGGAGTATACCCTTTCAAGTTGACTCTCAACTCATGGGCCGATCGGAAATTCACCAGTGTCGACCTTGCCCGCGCGCGTCGAATTCCATCCCTAAGTATACCGCGCAACGTATTGCATCATACCTAGAAGAAACTTTGGGCTCTCCTATCCTCCGAGACGACGTCGAATGGCCCGAACTTGAAGACCTCCCCGGCGGCCCCCCTGACTCGGCCCCAGACTTGGGCAAAACGGCCGACGATTACGAGCTACTACCATTTTCGACACCTGAGATACAGGAATTGAAGTGGATGGAAGCTCCGCTGCCAGTGGTGGGCCGTGCATAGGATTTGTGACGGTCATGGATCTCACCTGAGTTCTAGGATTCTTTAAGTTCTCAATTGCCGCCGGACTCGAAGTATCACCACCACCGTGCCCGCCAGGATGGCAGCCGTCCGAAATTGCGATTACCTTCGTCTTATAATCTATTTACGCAGCACTTTTATCAGCAAGCAGTTGCATCCGGACAAACTGTGCGGCGGCGCTGCAAGGGACCAGCGGAACCTAGAGAAGGACGCGGTACGTGGAGAATTTCTCCGAGTCTTCGTCAAACCCAGACTAAGAACTCGGGATAGCTCCAAAGTCTGATCCTGCACAGCGGGCGCAACACATCGCCAAACTTTGGCATAATCTTACCCCAGAAGAGCGGGAGGTGCGTGGTAGCCAAATCCGGCTACCAGTTAGAACGGAACATCCAACCCTGACGCATCGCACCAGCCGTTCCAATTAGAAGCAATTCGACACCGCGAGAACTATCACCTCCAGCGGTTGGGTCTAGTAAGACAACCTTAGCAGATAGTCAAAAGTACGTACACAGCTTTGAAACGTCTAGGACCGTGACCATTCAAGTAGTGAAGATGATTTCAGCCTGAGGTTCAAGGAAGTCTTTGAATATTGGGTCCAGGAAGCACGAGAATCCACTGGGGTTCTTTAGCGACCCAACTGCGACTGGAAAGATTCCTGAGCAATGCCAGTCACGCCGCGATGAATGTGGGAACCGAATCCATACCGCTGACGCACGGTGCAGGGCCTGCTAAGTAGTGCTAGTAGTACGGATAATGGCACCGGTTGGTAACGGTAACAACTTGAACAACCCATCACTGGCACAAAAAACCGTGTAACCATGATTATGTTACGTCACAGTACATATGACAAGGCTGGTTAGTACTAGTCTCGTTTTCAGATGCTCATTGGGCGGCTGGCTTCACGGCGGCGGAACAGCAGTTTGCCTGTCTTGCCGCTCCTACACAAGTCCATGTAAGCGCGGAGCTGTCAACTCGGCTCACACCGGTGTGGAACTCGCATCAACTCGACAAGCCGAGTTGAAACGAGCTGACCACACCAGCTCGGCTCGACTTACACCGCGGCAACACTAGTTTGACATGTCCCCCCATCACGTCCGGCATGTCCCCTGCCGCAATTGAAGATCTGTCCAGGCAGCAGATCAGACGCACGAGCCAGGCGTGTGCTGGACATTGAGCAACTGGAGGTGGCGTAGCGCGGGGCAGAGCATGGCAGTGGCCGGCCCGGAAGGAGACAGGAGAGATATTCGGGATCTTGTGCTGGTGAAGCAGCAGGTCTCTATATTATTGGTCTGTTGACGCCGTTGCCCTTTGACAGTTTGACTTGGAAGGCGGATTGGTCGTGTGGCCTTAGATGCCAGTGAAAATGAGGCGTCTCATCCGTATATCTCGCCCACCTCACGGGGGGGGAACAAATTAGATCGAGGGCTTCGGACTTATCGCTGGGACTGGGAGGTTTGTTGCACGGCCGTGGACTTGAAGTAATGGAGGGTATCGATTGGAATACCGGTTCAGCCTTCGGCGCCTTGGCCATGGGCTGGGAAAGGTCAGAGGTGAAGCTTGGTATATCGATAAGAGTCGGGCATTAAGCTCGAACGAGACTTCATTGAGACGTCGTGGCGAACGTCCCACTTCTACTGCCTGCCAGTGCCAGTGTTCTAACCTGGTTTTACAGTGACGTGTTTCGATATCGGGCTCGGCATTGGAGTAGAGAGGTTGGGATGCGTCGTCAACAATGATTCAATGTGAGATTTGGCCAGCAAGGTGAGTATGTCGCCTCTTCTGGTGACAAGAACCCTGACTGACATAAATAGAACGGGTTTGGCGTTGGTGTCGTTGACAACTTGAAATTGGAGGCGATGCAAGATTTTGAGATGTGGTCGTTGTTATTGAGTGCGCGAGCCGAGTCAGGCTCACCCGGATGTCTCCTGGTTGCGTGCTTAGCACGTCTTAAGCTCCAAGTCGGCGTGTATATATTCCGACTTGATTCTTTGCAGAACTTTGAACGAAATTGGATTGCGGACTTGAGTTGGGTCCACTAGAGTGGCTTGTCGCTGAGTTTGACGTTGAATCCGCTTGGAAATAGGTGAGCCACGTAGGGTTGGTGGATGAGGGAGAGGAGCGGCTCGGGCGGTCGGTAAACCGGGTAGGGTTGGGCCAGTTGGGGAAACGGGGCGGTGTGAGCCGCGCAGGGTGGGCGGGTGAAGAATTAGCTGCTCCGCGCAAGCTTGGTGGGTGGGCAGGCCGCAAGACCAAGTGCGTGTGACGTTAGGAGGCGGCAGGAGCAGAGGAAGCTGATAAGAAGTAGAAAGTCTGGATGATACTGGCACACTTTGGTTGGTTGACGACTTTACTTTGGAGGATGAACGGAGAGGAGAAGGTGTGGGGTATGTGCCCGGTTCCGTCAGTGTTCCGTCCTGTTCCGTCCCGTTGAGTAACGTCACACCATCTTGCTCGACGCTCGTTGCTGGTTGCTCCCCGCTCATCTTTGCTGGGCTGGCTTCAAATTTGCCGCATCCCATCCTGTGGGTCAAACTCGAACAATCATCTGGGCCGAGGCTTCCACCCGACCTCGTTAGTCTGCTGAGATAGTTCACTCGGAACGGGCCACTGGCACAAGGTTCAACTCCGTGATAGGTAGGCCAGAGATGGCCAAAAGTATAGTTTCGTACAAGATAACCAAATTTTTCAAAAGAATGACAGCGTGCGCTCCAGGCATCTCAAGCTTCCGAAACTACAAGTTC